CTGAAGCGTGAGCTAACTAGAAAATGTAGTTTGTGGAGCAGTGTGGAGAACCAGATGAAGTTTATTATCATGAATTTGTAGTTGTGTGATTTTCTCTAGCAGTGATTAGCAGCCCAGGTGCAAACACTGCGGAAGCTGAGAGTTCAAGTGTCTAGAGCCTGGGAAGAGGGGGTGTGGGAGAGAAGGAGGGACAAAGGCAGAGGGGGTTAGGATACTGGCAAGTGGCTTTCAATGGAAGGCCACAGAGGTGAAGTTAGGTGGGCATGAAATTGAAGTCGGACAGAGGACTATTGGGTCGGTCAAAAGCAGTCAAAAGAGTGGGAGTAATTGAGTGAACTCGCTGTAACGATACTAGGCCATTCTCCAAGTATAGAATATTTAATTTTATTGCTTTAAACACAAAAAATAAACTGGATTAGTGGTTTCAGTAAAGACAAAAAGAAGTTTAATGGAGATAGAAAACTCAAAGAAAAGAGAAGACAGGATTCTGGACAGGCCACTCATGTAGACCCAGAGTCATGCGGAAAAATGGCAGAGCTCGGGGTGACTGTGTGTGTGTGTGTGTGTGTGTGTGTGTGTGTGTGTGTGTGTAGCCTTGGCACATAAGATGACAATTTATAACAAAGTCATTATTTTATTGTGGGTTCATGATACATTTTTTATTATCACACTCCTATCACCATATCTGGCCACTATTTTATACTAGGCACTGTGCTGAGAGATGGCGAGGTTGCAATAAACAAGACATACAAAGTCCTGACTCTCCAGAGGCGTGTGTTCTAGTAGGAGAGACTGACAAAAACAAAAGAAACAGAAACAAGTAAACAAAGTTGTTGCGGTTTGTAATGAGTTTGTTATGAAGGGAACAGATAAGAGACTGCAGCAGAGACTGATGGGCAGACTAACTTTGGTTAAGATGAAAAAGAAGCCACTTTCAGTTGGTGACATGAGAAGTAGGGAGATGAATACTCCAGGCAAAGGGCTGCTACAACAAAGTGCTACAGACCTGGTGGTTTATAAACAACAGTAATTTATTTCTCACAGTTCTGGAGTCTATGAGAAATCCAGCCTTGGGAAGTCCAAGGTCAAGGCAGATACAGTGTGTGGTGAGGGCCCACTTGCTGACTCATAGATGGCTGTGTCCTCATGTGGTGGAAACAAGAAACAAACTTCCTTGTCCCTCTTTCATAAGAGCACTTATGAAATCCCATTAGGGATCCCATTAAGGATCCCAACAGGGAATGGTTTTGCTGTGTCATAGATTACCATTTCTGATCAGCTTCACCAAGGTATTCTTTCTTGCATCCCAAAGTGATACTATCCATTTTAGATTGTATTTTCATTACTGATGATACCAGAGACTTTGCCTCCCAATGGCTCCACCCCATTGCTTTGAGGTTAGGATTTCAACATAGGAATTTTGGGGGGACACAGACATTCAGACCATACCACTAGTCAGGGCTGACACTGATCTGTTACTTGACTCAAGATAGTGTGGAGTGAGAGCAGAGGTGACCCTAGGGGCCCCATGCACATTTGGGTTACATTAATTTTTTTGTTGTGAAATAAATTATACATACCCTAGGGTATATGGAATGTATATGAACCATTTAGAAAGTATAATTACAATAATAAAATAAGCACTCAGAATACTACCGGTCAGCTTAAAATGAGAACATCACCAGTTCTTTGAAGACTCTCGGGTGAACCTCATCAATTGCATTCTTTCTCAGTCCCTAGGGATGGGTAACCAGTCATCCCCTGTCTTGTTTATAGTTTTATTTCACATATAGCTATCCCCAAATAATATATTACTTTGTTTTGCTTTTTAAACTTTATATAAGTGGAAACATATTCTTATATGAGTTGTTTTTGGCCCCTTTACCATTGTGTTTTGAGGTTTATCCATGTTCTTAAATATACAAGTTTATTTTCATTAATGTATAATGCTCCATGGTGTGAGTATAACACAATTTACTAATGCATTCTGACTTTGATGGACATACAGGTTTTTTCCCCAGGTTTTTTGTCTATTATAAACAATGCTGTTGGAATAATTTCATATCTCCTAGAGCAAGCAATTTCAGATTATACATGTGGGAATTGGATTGCTGAGTCATAGTTTATATTCCTCTTCAGTTTCACCAGGGTATGCTTTCTTGCTTTCCAAAGTAATTCTATCAATTTTAGGTTACATGTTTATAACTGATAACACCAGAGACTTTGCAAACTGGAGGAAGAGATATTACCTGGTAGCTACCTATAGCAGTGGCCACAGTGCAGGAAATGGGTGGAGACTCCCAGGCCAGTGGCAGTTTAGTCTTGACATTTTCCTCTTTGTTTCCTTTCTTCCTTCCCTGACTCCCATTCTCAGAAAGGAAATAGCTCTCATCACACAAATGTGTTCTGAAGGCTTTTGAAAAGCTGAGAATGTCAGAAAACAAGAGATTCAAGTTAGAGGCTGAAATGAAAGAACATTCCTTTGCACACAGTTTTCGAGGGTCTAGAATGGCCATCAAGCAATAGATTGGAGTAGGCTGACTTGCAAATGTTTTGCTCAGAATTCCTGGCCCTAGAATGGAAGTGTTTTTTGTAGCCATGAATTCTTATAGTCACAGTAGGACTGACTGTAAGAACTGCATGCTTTCTAATCTCTTGTCCACAAAGGTCATGGGAATCTGGATGTAACCCTACCTGAAATTCTGGTGCCTTGACACACAGGCCAACCTTACCCTGCATTTCCTGGAGTAAGCACTTTCTACTTACACACCTTCCTCTCTCTGTCCTCTTTTCTCTAAAGGGTCAGCCATGAACCATTCACATTAGAAAAACAGCTTCTAATCCTCACAAAATCCATGAAAAGTAGATATTGTTCCCACATTAGAAATGGGGAAACTAAGGCTCAGAGAAGTGAGTAACTTGTGCAAAATTTCATAGCTTCTAAGAAGCAGATTTGACAGTCAAAGCCACATCTGTCTAAATTCATCTGTTCTCTTTCTCTCTCTGGCTTTCCCTGGCCCTCTAATTCTTTGTATTGTCATTTATAACCATGTGGCTCTTAACAAGTGACTTACCCTGTCTCAGCTTTAGATTAAAATATAACAGTTGACATAGGCTCAATAAATGTTTATTAAAAAATGAAAATCACTATATGGACTTACATTCTAGCAGGGAGCAATGTTGTGGGCCTGCAAGGGTCGTTCCCTTGATGGTATTACTGTTTTTATATTTATCTCCTAAATCTAAGCTCACAGCCTCTGGCTAAGCATGTGAATTTAGCTTGTTCTACAGCTGATATGTGCCTACTATTAGGTAGGTCTTTGCTATAAAGCATGTTCCAGTGTATTGTTGCTTATCTGTTATTTTACTTTCATACTGTTTTGCCGACTGGGAGCATATTTCCTCTCATAATGGTCACGATTTTTAGTGGAGGCTTTCCCAGAATATGCTGTTACCAGCTCACAACATACTCTGGCTCTGATACTTGTCTCAGAGAAGCAGTCAGGCTTGGCAGCACAACCAGCACGCCAATAGCCTGTTCCCTGGGGACACCGCTATCGCTGCCTCCCAGACACTTTACCTCTCCAGTTGCACCTCAGCTCTGCTAACAGGGGAGTCAAAAGCAGAGAGGGGGCATCAATCGATTGTAGGAAAAATAACAAAATCAGTTTCTAGCTTGACGTGGTTTGGAAAGATCTGTTGCCGCCACCTAAGATGCACCTGGAAGATAAATTATTCAGACTTTTCTCCTGCATAACCTTCTTGCTGCCTCCTATGTCATTACCATCTCACCTGCTTTCCTCCTGCTCCCCTGGGCTGGGGAGAGAAGTGTGCGGTGGTTCTCCAATGGACCTCTGAAACATTGGGAAGGTCAAGGCTGTGATCTCAGGGGTTGTTCTCTGTAACCAAAAATACGTTACTCTCAAAACAGAAACTTGAAATAAAAGATTTTTAACTCTTCTAATAATTGTCATGCCACATGAAGAAAAATATTAGAAGCCTTGTGTTTCAGTTCCTGTTTGCATCTGGCTGCCCTATAACACTGTGTCCTCTACTTTAGTAAATAAACTGGGGAGAGCATTCCAAAGAATAGTAAAGATTACAAAGGATGGGAATAGGTGAGAGGCCAGAGGTTTTACATAGTCTAGAACAGGGGCTAGGACACTTTTTCCATAAGGGACCAGAGAGCAATATTTTAGGTGTTCTGGGTCTTTTCGTCTCTGTCGAATATTACTATTTGTTTTTATTTACAATTCTTTGAGAATGTAAAAAGTGGTTTCAGCTTGGAGTCCATATCAAACTGCATTGCAGGCTGAATTTTGCTTGTAGTCTGCCAAGCAAACTCTAGAAGCTTTTTACTATGACAAAATATCATTTTTAAAAAAGAGAGATGTAATATGCTAAGTTTTGAGAGGAAGCAATGAGCAGAAATATTAGGAACACGCATTAATAATTAGGTAAGAATTTCTAGAAGACGGAAATGAAAGGGAGGACAGAGATTATGAGGGAGTAATTGAAAGGAGTTAGGGGTGTGAGAAAGAGACAGATATGGAATGAGAATGGAACAGTGTCTTGAGCAAAATAGAGAATCTGGGAAAATGGAGTAAATGAGGTAGATTTTCTCCTTAACATACTTAGTGGCAAATATACCCCAGCCCTGCTGTGTAATAGAGTGAATTTGCATGGGTATTTGAGAAAAAAATCTACTCGTATCTTATTTATAACTACAGTCTTCTTTTGACTTTACATGGCAGGTCGTAGGCCTTTACTTGCTTTCCTGCTACCTTCCAACACTGTGGTTTAGCACTTGTTCAGTTAGCTGTTGTGATTTAAAAAGAATGGAAAGTGTGAAACACCGCTTGTTGCAGGTTGGCGAGGATTGGTGGGTGGGTGGAAAGGATGTACAGCAATAAATCTGGGCAGCTTTCTGTGGATTGTGAAGCAAATGCACTAATATCAGCCATCTAACTTTTGCCAAACTATGAATCTTTTTTTCCCAGATACTTAACTATCAGAAAACATTTCCAGATGAAGAAGGAAGAACATCTGAACACAGACTGAGGTAATAGAGAAAACAAGGAAATGAATCTCAGATATACGACGAAGTTGGAAAAGAGAATGACAGGATACTTTGAGCTTGAAGTAATTTGAAAGATAGAGACTTCTAAATACCTTAGAACTATTGGATATCACGAGAAAGGGCCAACTTCCCTCAGAATTATGACAAAGCGCCGAATTACGAGTTAAGGTCTCTTGGCTTCAGCCTTTAGCCTACTCCTTTGTGGTCTTGTGACTTTAGGAAAGCAATTTAGATTATCCAAGTCTCAGTTTTCTCATCAGGGAAATGCAGAGAGTATTTTTTTTATAATGGAGTTTTTATTCGTATGTAAATATTAAAGGGCTTGTCAGCTATAAATAACTCTGATAATGACAGAGATTTTATTAGTTTTAGTGTTTCATTTGTGAGTTGACTTTACTCCTGCATAATAGGAGCCTTGAGTGACCTGAGGGGTTTCCAAAAGATTCTCTGGCTGTCATATTTCTCCTGAATTAGACCATGATGAAATGAATAAATCATTTTCATGGAGACCAAAGTTTTGATAGCCTCAGCTTAATTGATTTAGGAACATTAAGATGCAAATGTTATCAAAGACAGGGCTCAACACAACTGTGGACATCTAAACTCTTGACTAACCAGTCACCTAGCAATGTCTGGAGAGAATGGGTCAGAATTGCCACTAAATAGGGTGGCCCAAAGAACTTGGGGTCACCATGAAAATAGTAAATGCCTATCAAGAGAACACCTGAGAGGAGCAAGGCATAAAGAAGTGAGGAAAGGCCTTCTGCAGGTGACTTCACAATTTTGTCTCAGGCTGGTTTGTTCTGCCGAGAACTGAGGACTTTGGTAGATGGCAGCCTTTGATCTTTGTTCCTTTGCATTCCTTCTCAGTGCCATTGTTTTTCTGAACAAATGGCTCCTAGGACTGTGTCCCGAGTAATCCTCCTAGAGCAATTGTGGTCTGGAGAGCTAACTGTACACCAGCAAGTCATGCTTCCCATGCAGGGGCCACTGCTTTCAGACTTACTTGCTTCTAGTTGGGAATGGAAGCCAATGGCATGGGCATGGCTGTGACGCATCTTTTATAGGCCGGGGTGGTTAAAAAGCAGATGCTCTTTCTCCGCTCTCTTTTTCTTGTCAGCTTACTGGATATTGATGCCAGTGGCAATATTGGCAAACAAATCTTGAAGATAGATGGCCAGAGAAATGATGGAAACTGTGTCTGAGTCACTACTTGGAAGAGAGCCACCAAACCAGGAGCACTTACATCCGACTGGAATGTGAGCAAAACATTCTTTTTTTAGTGTTAAGCCACTGGGATTTTTGGTTGATATAGCAACTAGTGTCACTGAGATTAATGCAACTACTGATATTACTAAACTTTCTCCTGAGATGACTCTGTGTTCTGCAAATTGAGATATCCTGGCCTTTTTTCTTGATTTGTACCCTTTACTCTTTACCTTCTTTCACCAGATTCTTTCTGCTTTCTCTACAATCATATCTTCAAATGAATAATGAAATCAACAAAGAGCAAGAGAACAGAGGAGTAATGATTATTTCATTAATTTATTTTATTTTTCTGTTTGATTTGAGTGCATGGGAATAACCAAGAAGCTGGGTAGAAATCAAGGACAGATGTTTGGGGGCTTAAACTCCTGTGCTGGAAGTGGAAAAAGGTATAAACAGTAAAGGCTTTAAGTTTCAGTGACATGATTTTAAATTGAGAGCCAAGAGAAAGGATACTTTCTCACCACATTGCATCCATAGGATCAGTTTCTTGTTTATTTCTGACTTTCCAATTGGCAGAGTGCCCTTGAAATGTCAGCTTTTCATTGGAGTGGAGCACCCTGCAGTCATTACCTGATCTATAACATTGGCACAGGACGCTCTGAGAGCGGTTTTTATCCGAAACTAAGCTGTGTGCTGGGAGCCTAGGAAGCCTAGGTATAGATACTTAGATAGGAGAGAAAACTGAGAGTGCAGGTGTTGAAGGAGATCAAAATTACACACACAAAATAAGTAAAGAAAGAACCAAAAATTTAGGAAAAAAATGCTTACAAAAGCACATCAAACTGGTCTCTGAGATCTTATAATTTTCCCATTTATACTTTTATATAAATTGTGTTCACAGATACACTCATAATATGATCAAGTAGTGTTTGTACCTAAAACGATTGTCACAGTGTGTTATTTGAGCAGTAGTATTGGGTAAGATGATGGCTTCTAAATAAAAATTACTCTACAGTTACCTAGGGATTAAGTGGCTTAAATGGAATTGAAAACATGGTTTTTGAGGGCTCCCTCAATGCTTCCCATCGCCAGTTTATGCAGGCAATAGAGAACTCATTTGTCTTGAATAATTCTTTAGCTTTCCACAGCTGAATATCTTGCTCTTGGGGAAAGATCTTGCTATGATGTGCTGGATTCTGGCTGAGAATCTCTGGGTTTGAATCTTGGCTCTGCCACTTACAATCTTTAGGAGGTTGGTTAAGTTAAATATTTCTCTCTACCTCAGTTTCTTCACTGGTAAAATAGGAACAATCATAGGACTTACCGCATACATTTATCAAAGGGATTAAATGACCTAATAGAAGTAAATTATTGCAAGAGTAATTGCTAAATAAGAATCAGTTGTTGCTAGTGTTGTTTGTCTGTTGTGGGGTAAATGCATTTCCTTCTGTTTGAGCTTCTATTTGACTGGAACACAGTTGATCATGCCTTCTGACTCCTTCAGCCTTCTCTAGAATGTATTTACAGTGCTGGATGTCCATAACCAGCCTTTCCTTCTAACAGTCACAGCTGGGCTCTAGCCTTTTCTGTGGAGCTGTAATTCCTTCTCCTTCTCCATTTCTCCATTGATTTTTATCTTCCTTGCAATTGAGTGCTTTCCCCTCAATGGCAGTTTTACACATGCTAATCCAATCTCCTAGATCTGGTTCAAGGGTTATAATGATGAAGGATTTTCATCAATTGGAATAAGAATACTTAGTGCTTAACATTTTTGACAGCCAGCTCTGTGGCCTGAGAGGACAGTTTAGGAGCAAAAACAGAACAATAGCTGTGATAATGACACAGGCAATCACAGAAGGGCAAGAGAACAAGCTGCCCTAGGATGCTTGTGTAAGAAAAATTGCACGTCTTGTCTTCCTAATTAAAAGCTAAAAAATTGACTGAATTGCATATCTAATACATAACATGACTGTACAATAAAAGGAATTATATTCAGTGGACCTTTTACTATACAACTTTTGGTGGCACAATTTTTCAGGATGAAAAGTACTCAAGGAAATCTTAAACTTAACCCAATAGTTTTAATTCTTGATATTATAATTTTGAAATTATTTTATGTATGTTCTAGAATAAAGCAAATAAATAAAGAGGTTAATAACATCAGGATCCAGTGTTTCCAATGTGTGAGAAAAGAGAAACAAATACAGAAACAAAGAAATTAGGAGGGGGAATAACTCTATAAAATCAAATCTAAGTTGTAAATATTAGTATGAACATAAGATTATGTATAACGTAATGCTACACATAATCTATATGTTTATTATGTATTATATGCAATATAATCTGTATAATATATCTCTAATTTATCTGCATATATTCTATAAGTCTCTCTCTCTCTGTATGTGTGAGTATGCACGTGTGGAGAAAAAGAAAGAGAGAGGGATAGGGAAACAGAGAAAGACAGAGTGGAACACACACACATACACACGCACACACACACATAGGGTGGGGGAGAGAATGAAAATAAATGCTTTATCCACTCTGTCCAATGAAAGAACTTAGAAACCATTATGATCCAGTAGTATTGAGCACACCTGACATTCAGGTATTGTTTTCTAAAATACCATTCTCTCTAAAAAGAACTAGGGCTCCTTGTAGAACTGGCTGATTCTAGGTTTCAGACAGGGAATATTTACAGTGATTTTAAGATCTCTTATTGTATCAGGGAGTTTCTAGAGAACAATTGGGGTCTTGACAAAAGGATACAGCTTGAAGGGGCTGTCACTGACTGAGTTTGGGACAATATGAGCATCAAAAAAATAATGTTTGTGATTGATCATATTAATAAAAATGTCCAAGTCCAAAATGACATTCAAAAAAAGGAAAAAGGGAAAGATAAAATATAAGATTATTTGCCACAGTAGAGGTTATCAGTACACCAACTCCTTACTCTGAAAATTAGTAATTAAAAGGAAATAATTAAGCTCCTCCCTGTTTGTATTTGTCAGGATAGCTAGGTTATGCTGCAGTAACAAACAACCTCAAAATCTCAGTGGCTCAAAACCGAAGTGTATTTTTCACTTTCACTGAGTGTCTCTCCTGGGGTTACAAGAGTTCTGATTCATGTCATCCTCACTTAGGGAGGCGTCTCATGCTTTTACTCTTTAGCACTCAAACCATCCAGTTAAAGAGAAGCAGATCCTCAGGAGCCATTGCTTCTTTATTTGGAGTTCTGGTGTGAGAGATACGTAATGCCAAACGAGGGACTGGAGCAAAGCACACCAGAGCCACAGCTGGGCCTCAGCCAAATCACAGAGCTGTGAGCAAGAAATCTGTGTCATTATATGCAACTAAGATTCTGGATTGTTTGTTACCGATGCAAAAACTGATTAATACACCCGTTATGTATGCAGAAGGGGGGAAAAAAACCCAAACACCAGAATATCGGTGAACAGCCCAAATAACAACCGTATTGCGTTTTAAAGGACGAGGTCTGTGAGCATTGCAGAAGATTCTCAGCAAATAAATGTAGAAGGAATAATACCAGTACAAGTCACCATTTTGATATCCTGAAATAGTTGGTTCAGGAAAGAATTATCAATGAATTTTGGAACCGTTAGGTAAAAACTTTTTAGGAAATAGAATATTTGGATGAGGCCTAATTACCACCCTACATATATTTGCTCTTTATAATGGGTGAAGTACCCTTTAAAATAAAACTGTCATCATGAAACTACGCCTCACTGATAGTGGACAGCTTGACATTGTGTGCCTCCTGAGGTAATGCATTATGAAGTAACAGCACCGCCTTTGAAGCACCCTTAGCTCAGATGTTTTATCTGTGTGTGATCAAGACGTTTGTTCAGATTCCCAATACATAAGGAGTACAGGAGACACAGGTATGTGTTAAACAATGCTATGAGATACAACAAATCAGGAATGTGGTAATTTTATAAAGCTGTTGTTTGAGACTCTTTAACATGCCCATGTCATGGGGATACAAAAGCACAGTCTGTACTTTGTTTTATTCTGGTTTAAAATTAGCAAAAGATGTAAAACAACTAAATGCAGTGCGTAAGCCTTGATTGGATTCTAGTTTGAAAAAACTAACTACAGATGTGTTTCTTGTTCATTTTGGGAAATTTGAGTATGGCCTGGATGTTGGGGGATATCAGGTATTTTTGATAATGCTTCTGGGTATGATAAAGGTATTGAGGCTGTATAAGAGATTTTTCTTAGTTTAGGAGATGTATGCGATGTAGTTAGTGGTTAAATATCATGATATCTAACCTGGTTTCACATGCTTCATTAATCAATTTATACAGGGACACAAACATACATATAATTTTGCAGTTAAGGCAAAATGTTAACATTTATTGCACCTAAGTGATGGGTATATAATTTATCTTATTCTGTCAGATTTAAATTTGAATTTATTTTTAATAAAGCAGGAAACAAAATGAAACGACACTGCATGGGGAAGGGTGTGTGTGTGTGTGTGTGTGTGTGTGTGTGTGTGTGTGAAATTCAAAGCTGTGCCTAAAATGTCATCCTGATCTAGAAGTCTAGTGAGGTAAACATGGCCTCACCTGTTTTCCTTTTCTTTTGTATTTTTAACCATTTTATCTTAAATGCTCTGAGCCTGAATGATTGCTCTTGAACTTCTATGTCCTTCATATTTTTTCCTTGTCCAAAGAATAATTCACTAATTTAGGAGAAAGAGTCAATAATTATACTTTACTTGACGCAGAGCCTCCTGGAAAAACCATATATTACTGGATAGCCTGGTGCTTCTCTGTTTTATAGAAAAATCTTGGATACAAAATTTATTTGTTATACTTGATATATTATTATTTTTCCTATCTTCCCACCTGTTCTGCCCTGTCACGGGGAGTGTTTTTCTTCCTTAAGGTTAATTTTACCTTTTCTCCAGAGCACATGTTTTCTTAATACCTCTAGAATCCTAATCTGATCTTTTTTTAGCCTCATTCTTTGTGAACTTTTTGTTGACTCTTGGCCTTCAGCCTCTCTCTCTGTCTGTCTTTCTCCT